TAGCGCCCCATCGTTGGCGTCAGTGGGGGGAGGAATAGCGCCCCATCGTTGGCGTCAGTGGGGGGGAATAGCGCCCCATCGTTGGCGTCAGTGGGGGGGGGGAGGAATAGCGCCCCCATCGTTGGCGTCAGTGGGGGGAGGAATAGCGCCCCATCGTTGGCGTCAGTGGGGGGAGGAATAGCGCCCCATCGTTGGGCGTCAGTGGGGGGGAGGAATAGCGCCCCATCGTTGGCGTCAGTGGGGGAGGAATAGCGCCCCATCGTTGGCGTCAGTGGGGGGAGGAATAGCGCCCCATCGTTGGCGTCAGTGGGGGAGGGAGGAATAGCGCCCCATCGTTGGCGTCAGTGGGGGAGGAATAGCGTCAGTGGGGGAGGAATAGCGCCCCATCGTTGGCGTCAGTGGGGGAGGAATAGCGCCCCATCGTTGGCGTCAGTGGGGGGAGGAATAGCGCCCCATCGTTGGCGTCAGTGGGGGAGGAATAGCGCCCCATCGTTGGCGTCAGTGGGGGAGGAATAGCGCCCCCCATCGTTGGCGTCAGTGGGGGAGGAATAGCGCCCCATCGTTGGCGTCAGTGGGGGGAGGAATAGCGCCCCATCGTTGGCGTCAGTGGGGGGAGGAATAGCGCCCCATCGTTGGCGTCAGTGGGGGGGAGGAATAGCCCCCATCGTTGGCGTCAGTGGGGGGAGGAATAGCGCCCCATCGTTGGCGTCAGTGGGGGGAGGAATAGCGCCCCATCGTTGGCGTCAGTGGGGGGGGGAGGAATAGCGCCCCATCGTTGGCGTCAGTGGGGGGAGGAATAGCGCCCCATCGTTGGCGTCAGTGGGGGGGAGGAATAGCGCCCCATCGTTGGCGTCAGTGGGGGGGGAGGAATAGCGCCCCATCGCTTGGCGTCAGTGGGGGGGGAGGAATAGCGCCCCATCGTTGGCGTCAGTGGGGGAGGAATAGCGCCCCATCGTTGGCGTCAGTGGGGGGGGAGGAATAGCGCCCCATCGTTGGCGTCAGTGGGGGGGAGGAAATAGCGCCCCATCGTTGGCGTCAGTGGGGGGAGGAATAGCGCCCCATCGTTGGCGTCAGTGGGGGGGAGGAATAGCGCCCCATCGTTGGCGTCAGTGGGGGGAGGAATAGCGCCCCATCGTTGGCGTCAGTGGGGGGAGGAATAGCGCCCCATCGTTGGCGTCAGTGGGGGGAGGAATAGCGCCCCATCGTTGGCGTCAGTGGGGGAGGAATAGCGCCCCATCGTTGGCGTCAGTGGGGGAGGAATAGCGCCCCATCGTTGGCGTCAGTGGGGGGAGGAATAGCGCCCCATCGTTGGCGTCAGTGGGGGGGGAGGAATAGCGCCCCATCGTTGGCGTCAGTGGGGGAGGAATAGCGCCCCATCGTTTGGCGTCAGTGGGGGAGGAATAGCGCCCCCATCGTTGGCGTCAGTGGGGGGAGGAATAGCGCCCCATCGTTGGCGTCAGTGGGGGGGGAGGAATAGCGCCCCATCGTTGGCGTCAGTGGGGGGAGGAATAGCGCCCATCGTTGGCGTCAGTGGGGGGGGGAGGAATAGGCCCCATCGTTGGCGTCAGTGGGGGGGGAGGAATAGCGCCCCATCGTTGGCGTCAGTGGGGGGAGGAGGAATAGCGCCCCATCGTTGGCGTCAGTGGGGGAGGAATAGCGCCCCATCGTTGGCGTCAGGCGTCAGTGGGGGGAGGAATAGCGCCCCATCGTTGGCGTCAGTGGGGGGAGGAATAGCGCCCCATCGTTGGCGTCAGTGGGGGAGGAATAGCGCCCCATCGTTGGCGTCAGTGGGGGAGGAAATAGCGCCCCATCGTTGGCGTCAGTGGGGGGGAGGAATAGCGCCCCATCGTTGGCGTCAGTGGGGGGAGGAATAGCGCCCCATCGTTGGCGTCAGTGGGGGGGGGAGGAATAGCGCCCCATCGTTGGCGTCAGTGGGGGAGGAATAGCGCCCCATCGTTGGCGTCAGTGGGGGGAGGAATAGCGCCCCATCGTTGGCGTCAGTGGGGGGAGGAATAGCGCCCCATCGTTGGCGTCAGTGGGGGGGAGGAATAGCGCCCCATCGTTGGCGTCAGTGGGGGAGGAATAGCGCCCCATCGTTGGCGTCAGTGGGGGGAGGAATAGCGCCCCATCGTTGGCGATCCAGTGGGGGAGGAATAGCGCCCCATCGTTGGCGTCAGTGGGGGAGGAATAGCGCCCCATCGTTGGCGTCAGTGGGGGGGAGGAATAGCGCCCCATCGTTGGCGTCAGTGGGGGGAGGAATAGCGCCCCATCGTTGGCGTCAGTGGGGGAGGAATAGCGCCCCATCGTTGGCGTCAGTGGGGGAGGAATAGCGCCCCATCGTTGGCGTCAGTGGGGGGAGGAATAGCGCCCCATCGTGGCGTCAGTGGGGGAGGAATAGCGCCCCATCGTTGGCGTCAGTGGGGGGAGGAATAGCGCCCCATCGTTGGCGTCAGTGGGGGAGGAATAGCGCCCCATCGTTGGCGTCAGTGGGGGAGGAATAGCGCCCCATCGTTGGCGTCAGTGGGGAGGAATAGCGCCCCATCGTTGGGGGGGGAGGAATAGCGTCAGTGGGGGAGGAATAGCGCCCCATCGTTGGCGTCAGTGGGGGAGGAATAGCGCCCCATCGTTGGCGTCAGTGGGGGAGGAATAGCGCCCCATCGTGGCGTCAGTGGGGGAGGAATAGCGCCCCATCGGCGTCAGTGGGGGAGGAATAGCGCCCCATCATTGGCGTCAGTGGGGGAGGAATAGCGCCCCAATTGGCGTCAGTGGGGGAGGAATAGCGCCCCATCGTTGGCGTCAGTGGGGGAGGAATAGCGCCCCATCATTGGCGTCAGTGGGGGAGGAATAGCGCCCCATCATTGGCGTCAGTGGGGGAGGAATAGCGCCCCATCATTGGCGTCAGTGGGGGAGGAATAGCGCCCCATCGTTGGCGTCAGTGGGGGAGGAATAGCGCCCCATCGTTGGCGTCAGTGGGGGAGGAATAGCGCCCCATCGTTGGCGTCAGTGGGGGAGGAATAGCGCCCCATCGTTGGCGTCAGTGGGGGGAGGAATAGCGCCCCATCGTTGGCGTCAGTGGGGGAGGAATAGCGCCCCATCGTTGGCGTCAGTGGGGGAGGAATAGCGCCCCATCGTTGGCGTCAGTGGGGGAGGAATAGCGCCCCATCGTTGGCGTCAGTGGGGGAGGAATAGCGCCCCATCATTGGCGTCAGTGGGGGGAGGAATAGCGCCCCATCGTTGGCGTCAGTGGGGGGGAGGAATAGCGCCCCATCATTGGCGTCAGTGGGGGAGGAATAGCGCCCCATCGTTGGCGTCAGTGGGGGAGGAATAGCGCCCCATCGTTGGCGTCAGTGTGGGGAGGAATAGTGCCCCATCGTTGGCGTCAGTGTGGGCGGAAATAGTGCCCCATCATTGGCGTCAGGGGAGGAATAGCGCCCCATCATTGGCGTCAGTGGGGGAGGAATAGCGCCCCATCATTGGCGTCAGTGGGGAGGAATAGTGCCCCATCATTGGCGTCAGTGGGGGAGGAATAGCGCCCCATCATTGGCGTCAGTGGGGGAGGAATAGCGCCCCATCATTGGCGTCAGTGGGGGAGGAATAGCGCCCCATCATTGGCGTCAGTGGGGAGAGGAATAGTGCCCCATCATTGGCGTCAGTGGGGGAGGAATAGTGCCCCATCATTGGCGTCAGTGGGGGAGGAATAGTGCCCCATCGTTGGCGTCAGTGGGGGAGGAATAGTGCCCCATCATTGGCGTCAGTGGGGGAGGAATAGTGCCCCATCGTTGGCGTCAGTGTCAGTGTGGGGCGGAGGAATAGTGCCCCATCGTTGGCGTCAGTGGGGAGGAATAGTGCGCCCCATGGCGGTCAGGGAGGAGGAATAGTGCCCCATCGTTGGCGTCAGTGTGGGGAGGAATAGTGCCCCATCGTTGGCGTCAGTGGAGGAGGAGGATCAGCCAGAATTTGTGGGTCAGTGTGGAATGAGTGCCCATCGTTGGGGGGGTCAGTGTGGAGGAGGAATAGTGCCCCATCGTTGGCGTCAGTGTGGAGGGAGGAATAGTGCCCCCATCGTTGGTGTCAGTGTGGAGGAGGAATAGTGCCCCATCGTTAGTGTCAGTGGGGGAGAGGAGCGGCTGCTCCTTCTTTCAGTTCGGCAGCTTGATTTTCGCGGGGGCCGTTCGGCTCTGCCTCCGCGCCGGTGATTGGTCGCCTGTGTGCGCTGGCGCCCAATCACCGGTAAGGAGGCGGAGCCGAGCGACCGAACTGAAAGAAGGAGCAGCCGCGCTTCCTGGACCGGATCATCGTGGGACCGGGACCGGAGCCAGGTAAGGTACAGCAGCCCCTCTGCCCACCCTGTACTTAGTGTCCGTTGGAGGACACCGCCCCTGGAAAAAGTGCCGCCCTGACACACCGGCTCGCCGTATACCGGCGTACGAGAAGACCCCCGACTTTTCAGAAGATTTTCAGGGGTTGAAAAGTCGTCTTATACGCCGGCAAATACGGTATTCAAAATTGCTGTGCAAATGCCTGAAGCCTTTGCAATGCCATCTCAAACAATTGCACAATGTACTATGCTTATTGTCTGATCGTAAGCGCCATCTAGTGGTCAGAATGCGATATTTTACGTATTCTAAACTACTGCAATATGGCCACTAGAAGAAGCTGATGATCATAAACATAAGCATTTTAAAAGACAATTAGGCAATAATAAACATATTAGACACAGCATGGTCAGTATTTGTGACATTTTTATAAATAGACCCCAGAGACTAAGAAGAAGAGTAACAAATATAATAGCAACATCAGAACAAAATCAGTGAAGGTCCCTGTATTCCTCTCATGACAGTTTTCATTTAAGATAAGGTACATCACATACATAATTTATATATATATATATATATATAGTACCTAGACATGTATAGAATAAACCTCATCGGCTATAAAATCCCAAGAATTATTCTCCAGGTATTTCTGAATTGCAAATAAAGTGTGGGATAAACCCATACCTTAATGTTCGTGTTTCTTCATGGGCAGTCTTTGCTGGTCTTTGCTTCTGAGAGAACACAAACGGTGTTGGAAAAATAGAAGAATGTCCATTGCCATTTTGTTTGGCTCTAAGGAAATCAACAGATGGAGCCGATGTTGTATTGTTAATAGACATCGCCTTCTTCTCTGCTTTTAATGTTTCTAAGGGTGCATAAAACAAATAGGTGTTAGATTACGTTAGTTAAAATTCTACATGTGACTTTAATCACTGGGTTTCCTATTAAAGGATAGTTCATTACAATGGACAGGCACATGTGAACTTATCCTTTAAGTTCACCTATGGAACAAGTAACATGTTCCCATAGCCAATAATAAACAAGCATAAAAGCATAAAAGTGAGCGCTAAAATTGAGCCACTGTACACCAAAAAGGTACCAACAACCTCCAAAGACCAAATAGAATTGTATTCATTATATATGTTCCCATAGCTGCAGCTGCAGCTGCAGCTGCCCCCCCCCCCCCCCCCCCCCCCCCCCCCCCCCCCCCCCCCCCCCCCCCCCCCCCCCCCCGCCTCTGGCAGATAGTACATGGAAACTACACCTTGTACGATTGGTCAGATTTGAAAACAGTGCGACCACATGGCCGTGTCACTCATTCACAGTGTTCTATGAATGCCTACAAGTCTTAGCGGCTGTCAACTTGTAGTTTTGAATTATCTTACACAGCACTCTGGAGCGCCATGGTAGTTCACTGAAGCTTCCAGTCAGTATATGTACTTGCTTGTACATCCCGTACAGCAAGCAAATATCCTGACAGGTGTGCAGGAGAACTGCATGGCATCAGCAATCTACTGATCGCTGGTGTAATACTTTACAAGCTTTTTTACCTGCAAAAAAATGTGCAATTATTTTTGTCCAAAAGGTGAACTTATCCTTTAAAGTGAGCCTGACATAAAAGATATCTAAAAAAAAAAAAAAAAAAAAAAAAAAGAAGAAGGTAACAATACTTTGCTAAATACAGGCTGTACAAAGTCACGACTTGCCTCAAGGTCACGATTAATATAATGTAACGCGGTCAGATTTTTAGAAATATATGAAAGACAGCTTTGTTAAAGAAGACCTCAAATACAGTACTAGCATAGCATGTCAACACCATGAAATAAAAAGAAAGTATTTTACCAGAGTGGAAGATGTGTTTATGAAGAGACTTAAAAATAGGTCTTTCAAATCGCCTAGGATGCATAGGAGTGTACTGAAAAAGAAAAAGAAGTCTTTAAAATAAACTAAACATGTTTTCATGTTGGCCTTTTTTTTCCCTCCCATAATATATTTTTATTTGGTTTTACAAATATAGTTACAGCAACACAAAAAACAAAAATAGGACAGTGAACAGTTATACAATATCACAGTATAGGTGTTGCGGTAATGTTTAAGAGAAAAAAGGAATATTAAATAATTCCTAACAGTTCTGCTCTAGTTCCATGAAATAATCATTTTTAGAGTATGCAAAAAAAGGTTAAAAACATAATATCTTAGGTTACAGTTCTGAACCAGTCGGACCAGGGTTTCCGAGCTTTGTCAAATTTAGTAATTCTATGGTTTAGGTAAGAAAGATTTTTCATAGATGAAGGGGTCTAGACTAGCCCAATGACTTTTTACAGAAGGGACCAAGTCTTTTTTCCAGTGTCTAGTAATGGTAAGTTTTAATGCTAGAAGAAGAATATGTGTCACTAAGAGTCAATAATGGATTGGATATGTATCTATATTTATATTCAAAATGGCTAGGGTAGGATCTGGTTGTTTTAATAGCCCAGTCATTTCCAATATTATGTGGAAAACTTTACACCAACAGCTTCTATTTTTACATGTCCATAATATATGTAATAGAGTACCAATCTGACCGCAGTTTCTCCAGCATTGAGGACTATGTTGTTCTGAGAATTTGGCCATTTGGTAAGGAGTTAGATACCAGCTTGTGGAAATTTTGTGCATTAGCTCCCAAAGGTTAACATATCTAGTAGCTGAAAAAACATTCCCACTGCTCATTAGAGATTTCAGTCTCTAAGTTTTTGTTCCCCACTTGATTAAAGGGAGTAGTCTCATTAAATTCTGATTTACATTGTAGAAGGTTATAGAATAGGGTTATACCACCTGATTTAGGAGTAGTGGAGCTATAGAACTGTAAAGATACTTTGGGTATATATATTCTTTTTACTGGATGTTGCGATAGGCAACGACTGATGTGTGTATAGGTTGCTTTTTCAGAAGGGAGGAGGTTAAATGCTTTCATAAGGAATTAAAAATTTGTTATGTTGTTTTTAACACAAATATCTTGTATTGTGCGTATGCCATTATGTTTTCAATTCGAGATATCTATGCTATTATGTTGGTCTTATTAACAAGAATAGTCTGGGGAAAAAAAAAAGACATTTCTGATTATACACTTAGGTTTGATATTAAAACAGGGATACAATCGTGAGGGCATCTTGGTAACGAAACTGTTAATTGCTATGGAGCACGCAAAATGGTTAATTATATTAAAGTGTAACTAAACCCACAACAGTAAAATCAGTCTGTATATGCAATAAAGCATGCTTGTTATACTCACTGAGGAACCTAAGGGGTTAATCCTCTGCATTGTGTAAAAAGGCTGTTTGGACCTGTCTTCTCTGCCCACCTCTTGTTCAAATGTCCACCTGATAAGACAGACCGAACCCGTAGTCGCATGCACATGCTCAGTTTGGTGTGTATTGCTAGAGAAGTTTTTTTTTTTTCTTCCTTGGGAAAGTGCATGTGATCAGCACAGGGCCAATCAGCACAGTCCAGACAGATGACAGCGGTTTTGCATCCTCCTAGAGGAGAAAGTAAACCACTTCTACAAGCTTCAACCAGTGCTCTGCTGAAGTCACAAGACTTCTCTAACAGCTGATGAAAAAAAAAAAGGTATTTACCGTATTTTTCGCCGTATAAGACGCACTTTTTCTTCCCCAAAACTGGGGGGGAAATGTCAGTGCGTCTTATAAGGCGAATATGGAGCGGCCGGTCCGGTATTTCCACCGCGGCCGTGTCAGAATACCGGGCCGGTCGCTCAGCTCTGCAGCGGGACCTTACCTGTTCCTCTATCCAGCAGCGTGCTGTCTTCCCGGCTTCTGTAGTGTGGGCACTGGGCATGACAGCCGGGTGCCCAGTGCGCATGCGCGAGAAGCGGTGCGCTTTGTGAATGGTAAGGCGGTACCTGGGACACATGACAGATCCCAGAAGCCGCTGGAACAATCACAAGGCGCAAGTGCTTCTCGCTCATGCGCACTGGGCACCCGGCTGTCATGTCGAGCGCCATTACAGAAGCCGGGAAGACAGCGTGCGGCTGGATCGAGGAACAGGTAAGATCGGGTACCTGTCAAATTCAGGTACCAGCTCCCCACCTCCCCAAAGGTCAGCAGTCATCTGTACTGTCCGCAGTCTCTGGTCATCCCTGTGCTGTCCGCAGTCTCTGGTCATCCCTGTGCTGTCCGCAGTCTCTGGTCATCCCCTGTACTATGTCTGCAGTCCATTAGTTCAGAATTTTTTTTTTCCTGTTTTCTGCCTCTAAAACCTAGGTGCGTCTTATGGGCAGGTGCGTCTTATATGGCGAAAAATACGGTAGCAGTTTATATTTACTAAAATCATTGCATATCCATGTTGTGTGTACTGTGGAAGATCAGATATAGTGAATGCAGGGTCCTGGGTTTAGTAACACTTTAAAGTGTTACTAAACCCACAACATTAAAATCAGTCTGTATATGCAGTAAAGCATGCTTGTTATACTCACTGTGGAACCTAAGGGGTTAATGCTCTGCATTGTGTAAAAAAGCCGTTTGATTCTGTCTTCTCTGTTCCTCCCCTTCTACTGTCCCCAATCCATCTACTGATAGTACAGAGCCCTAGGAGGCACTCTAGCAATACACACCAAAATGAGCATGTGCAGAGGTTTTTTTGGGAGGATGTATGTTATCAGCACAGGGCCAATCAGCACTGTCCAGACAGCGGGTCAGTGGTCATGCAGCCTCATAGGCCTGAGAATGAAAACCACTCCTACAAGCTTTATTGAGTGCTCGGCCGAACACCGATAGAACACAGGACTGCTATATACTGCTGATGAGAAAAAAAAGGTATTTAGCAATTTATATTTACTAACATAATTGCATTTCCATGTTCTGTGTATTGTGGGAGACCAGATATAGTGAATGCAGGGTCCTGGGTTTAATAACACTTTAAAAGGAGATATTTTAAAATAAGATTTACCAATATTACAGGAGTTAATAACATGTTATTATACTTGGGAAAGGAAGATAAAAACGGACTAGTAAAACACAGGTATTTAAATTGCCCTCACACTTGACCATTTTCAGACACATGCCTTCTTAATGGAAGCGCGTGTTAAACATAATCCAATGCAAGCCATTTTGCACTGTAGGTCAAGGTACATAATACTATGCTTTAAAAACTATTTTCATTGACCTATTGTCTTATACTTCTATCGATCTCAAAGGAAATGCATATGTGTAAATCTGACCTTAGTTGCCAAAATGGAAGCGCTTCTAGCTTGCAACTATAATCCCTGGGTTTAAATCTCACCTGTGGTAATGACACTAGAATGTGAGAACCTCAGGGGGACAGGTATTTGGGGGAATACATTTAAGTATTCTGTCAAGTACTATGCAATAGGTTGGTCTCATATACATATTGGAAAGAAACTGAAGTGTTCAAACCTCATAGTTGTATGAAGAGAAAGAATCATGTGTGGAGTCTTTAAAATGTGCTTTACACTCCGAGTTATGTTCACTCTCCCAGATCATTTCTTTCATTTCTTCATCTACAACGAAATCAGAAAAACATTTATTTATTTATTTTTAAAACAACCCAAAACTATAAAGATGGCATACCTTTGAACAAAACTCATTTTATTGATACTTAAAGCAGATCAAGTGCCCATATTGTTTGTTTTCTCCATTTTGGAGTAGGGAAGAGATATTATGGAATTAACCTGCTTAAAATTCTTCAACCCTCCAGGAGCTTTTGCCATAATGCACATTTAGATACAGCTAATCTTGGAGTAATTGCATGTGCCTTGGATGATATGTACTTCATTGAATACTAAATTATCTATGTATACAACTATGTGCACTACCCCCTTGTTGATCTGTTGGCGGCACTTCCATCTCGGTCTAGTCTTCCTAGATTGTACGCTCGAAAGAGTAGGGCCCTCTAACCCCTCGTGTGCTGTTTGATGTTACTGTTCTGTTTCATGTATTGTCCCCCCTCTATTGTACAGCGCTGAGCAAACCCTTTGGCGCTATATAAACTCGATAAATAAATAAATAAATAATAGTCTTCTTCTAAGTTCGGAGTCATCAATGATTTTGATTGGCTGGGATGACATAAATCCCACAAATGCACATGAAAGTTACTTGTTCCAGCACACAATCACGCGTAAGCTATAAATCACCCCATAGAGTCCCTTCTGTCATAAAAAGCCTACCTGTCACCAGAACAAAAAAAGTAAAATCCCCCTAGTAGGGATGCAGAAAAAAAACCTGACAGAAGTTCTGCTCCCTTACACCACTAAAAGGAATTGATATTATCATCACTGTGCACTACCTAATCCAACTAACAGAACAACTAAGTCCTGTTTCACACCAAATGCGGCTTTGAAATCACAATTTCAAATCCGCTGGTCAGTTCAATTTCATGTGCGGCTAGCCGATGCCTCTGCAACTTCATGCACAGATGTCAATGCAAGTCGCACATAAAATGGGCAAAAATAGTTTTCAAAATTGGTGCAAGTTGAAGTAGCACAGATTTGAACATTTCCATAGGCTCAAACAGGGTGTGACTTATGAGATTTTGAACCGTCAAAATCGCATTGGTGTGAACAGAGGCTTGGGCAATTCTATTCAAGATTTCAAAATGCTCTGCTAAAATGACAAATCGCACTACCCAAATTTCAGATTCATTTTAAATGGCACCTAAAACGCAGTGCAGTTCTTCAAAATCGTGCTGAAATCACAGCAGTGCGCATCATGCAAAGCTTGTCACTCAAAACGATTCGCAATTCAAAAACGCCCAAGTGTGAATGGAGCCCAAGCTACAAAATAAAGTACAACCCAATAACTTGGTTAATAGCAGGCCACCAGCTGTTTGACAGCTTATGGTTAATGGAGTTTGAATGAGCTGGCCAGCATCCTCCCAGACCCCGAAACATTTGAAAACAGATATATAGATGAGAACAGACTTTCTAGCTTAATGGAAACCGTGACACTAAAGACTTTTTTCCAGTTTTGCAAAGAGTGGAGAGGGATTAGAACACCTGTCAAGTTGTATTGCCATTTGTGCTCCCATTAGGGAGATTCACCCTCTCCAATTGTCCATTATCATCAAAAGTGAAGGTAAAAGAAAATCCCAAATTTTGGAACAGTATTTCCCACAGAGCTTTATTTTAGTGGTATTTGATTGCCATTGGTTTTTTTTTATTTTTTTGCACTGCAAATGGAAAAAGACCGACATTTTGTCAATAAGAAAAACAATATTTTTTGCTATAAAATACATTCAATAAAAATGTTAACAATCTAAATGTCTTCATAAAATGTCCAATTATATTCTGCTATTTTGTAAAAAAAAAAAAAAAATCCCAATAAGCTTATGCTGATTGGTTTGCGCAAAATTTATAGTCTACAAACTATGGTATATATACTGGAATTTTTTTTCTTTTATACTAGTAATGGCAGCAGGCAGCAGCTTATAGTGGGACTGCAATATTGCAGCAGACAGTCTGACACTAACTGACACTTTGTGGGAACCAGTTACATGAATACAGTAAACAGTGCTAAAAATATACACACTGTCACTGTATTGACACTGGCTGGGGAGGAGTTAAAAGGATACATACAGTCAAAGCTCTTTTGGCTGTACTTCTGTGGATCACAGGAGTGCAGTTCATTCTGCACTCCTGCGACCGGTTTTCAGCGGATAGCTGACGTCACTCAACCGGTCCAGGCTGGGGAAAGTTCCCGCCTTTAGAGTCAGGGATCACTCGAGTCTGCAGCAGCACCTGGCTCAACCTCTGAGCAAGCCGCTGAGAGCCCAAGCCAGCTGCTCCCTCCCTCTCCACAGACCAGCGCTCCAGCAGAAAGAGGGGGGGGGGGTGGAAATCAGAGCAGATGGCAGTGACTGGCAGTCACCGCTCTATGCTCAGAGCAGCTGTGAGAACACAACAATCATGTGATCACTGCGTTCTCACACTTAGAGCTGGCGGGAGACAGATTTAAACATCAAGGACAATCAAAGTGTTAACTGTGTGCTTACCAGTGTTTTTGTGTACTGTGTTAGGTCTTTTTACTATGGAAATCTGCTAGATTTTATTCCCTGCAGCAACAGAAAATCTAGCAGATATCTGCTGACAGAACACAGCTCTGCCTTGTTTACATAGGCAGATGTGTTTTGTAAGTGTCCTTGGCGATCAACGGGTGCCAGCACTCATCCATTGGCCAGCACCTGTTGATTGGCTTCTGCTGTGTCCAATCACAGCAGAAGCAGCACTCCGGCAGCCGCCCCCTACGGCGGACATTCAAAATCACATCCACCCTGTAGCAGTAAATCTGCTATAGGGAGGAGGTCAAGCGGTTAGGAGATTCCAATAGCCAAAAAACGACATGGCATAGCTGACTTTCTAGAAATACAAGTTGCTTGTTTTTGGTTTTATTACTTATGTACTAATATAACTGGCCTGGAACAAGTCAAGAGTGAAGTCAAAAGCTCCTGATCAGCGTACACACACATCAAAACTTCAGTGCTAAAAAGGAAGATATTGAAAATGGATAAAAACCAGGCAAATATGTTCAGAAGTGGTGTTCACATTGACACTCCACATTCACTCATGTTGCTTTACCTCAGAGCAGTGACCAGATAGGACAGAGCTTCAGATAAGCTGGCAGTGTGACATTTAGGGAAGGGTACGCAACCTTTTGAAGAACAAGGGCCTGTTAAGTGATTGGTAACTGTTCATGGGCCACAATGAAATGAAATGGTTCAGAATTTCATTTTGAATGGCATAATGAACATTTTCCTCCTGCAGACACTGAATGCCAGCGGGAGGGAGAGGAGAAGCCAGCTTTCAGCAGTTGCAAGAGGAAATTGGAGAGGATCGGTTCTTGTATATGCTGTCCCCGCCGCCCCCCTCCTCTCCAAGCATAAAACATATGATAGCAGGGCCACACAGGCCCCTGGAGGATGTGGTGGGGTCACCACTGCAACCCCGGATGCTACACCATTATTGGGGGTGTGTGGTAAAAACACATCAACTATGGGGTTTTTAAAGGTAAATGAGCCCTTACCGTCCTGAGACACCTAGAAGGCTGTTTTCACACTGCTGCGATGAGGTTTACCCTCACTGTGGGTGCAGTGCACCTGCGGGTTAGCTGTGCTTTGCCAGAGAATTCTATTAAATCTTGCAGGTGTGGTGAACTTTCTGAAAGCGCACCAAATCTGCAATCAGGAGGAACCCACAGGATATAATAGAAGACTATAGCTCAGTGCAGCCAACCCACAGGAAAGCCACACATGCACTGCACCAGCAGATCAGTGTGAACGCAGCCTAACAGTTGTTAACCCTTTTATAGGTGCTAATATGCCCACTGCAAAAGCACAGTGTATGTGTTTAATACACTGACTTTTGTTTCATCTTCCAGCTTCTGGTGGCATCACTCAGCTGGCAGCAAAAAAGGTCCCAGGCAAAGTGCACTTGGTATCACTCCGCCCGCGACAGAAGTTGGTGCTACAAAGCCCAGATCGTGATCAATGAGTTGCCAAGCCTGGGCATTTGCTTCCCTGGTTTGAGGTCGCAGGCCACATCAGAGGGCTCTGAAGGCCATGGGTTGAGCACCCCTTTAGGACAAAGCTACACTTTCCAGTTGCAGTGCTATGTGGTATCGAATTGTGTTACCTCAACACACATAAAATATTCATATCTTCATATTTTGTGTTGTCCTAATTTTTAATGGAACCACACCTGCAACACAGTAACAGACTACTGTGCCCATTTAGACTGGTCTATTCTCTGGTGTTGCATTAATGTGTGCTGTCGAGCATTAACACGCATTGCTTTAAAAACAGTATTTACATGAGTGTAAAGTATTAACTATCACTTACCCATTTTAAGTTCTAGGTCATCCCTGGGATCTCAATGCAAATTTCTATTGTCTGCAAATGAAGGAAAAAAAAAAAAAAAACACCACACAATCAAAAAACGGGAAAATAAAGACAATACAAATAGTTGTTTCCAAAAAAATCATTAACGTGACACTGAACAATACCCTTACACTTTAAAAATAAGTCATGCGTATCTACTAAACCTCCCTAGCGGTCTGATTATGTCCATATTTCTGTGCTGAAAGCAGTACATTTTTTTGCATGGAAATATGTATTTTTTTTATTGTAGGCCTGTAATTTTTTAGGAATAACTCACTGAAATCTGTCTGAACAAGAGTCTAGTAAACATCCTGGGTAGGATAAAACTTGAAACAGAAAATCATAAATTATAATTTAATAAATAATCATAAAATTATAATAAATTTAATTCAATATAATCAAACCAAAAACACTGAAATTTGAAATATAGCGCCAAGTTCGCACATCGCTGAGCAAAGTCGCAAAATAGTTTTCAGTGTCTGATGACGAATTTCCCCACAAATCATTATCACTCAATTCTGCAAGTGTTTCTGATTTACTATCGCTGTTCTCTAGCTGGTCTAAAACCGCTTTTGACCTAAAGGGACACTTTTTGGGCGCCATGGACTTTTCTCAGTTTCCAGGCAGAAAGAA